TTGCTGGCTGTAGCAGCGCTATAGCGCTGCTATAGCGCTGCACAGCAAAAACGCATAAAAATGAAACATTTTAATGATTTGCAAAGCTTCAAAATAATCCTTCACGAAAATTATCATCTTTTCAGATTTCAAGCGCAAATTACTGTGAGAACTAGCTACGATATAGGAGCAATGAAATTATAAGGCTGGGTTTGTGCATTTAACGCATAGTAAAACAATGTAAGTTGTTACTGTGAAAACAGTGAACCCAAAATTTCTCTTGCACGGAACGACTATGATTACTGATTGCAGCGAAAGAGCAAGCACGTAGAAGAATGGGATTATAAACGAATCCACCTTTGAAATGCATCCGCTGAACGGTGAAGCGCCGCCAATTCGTGGGTTCACGACAATTCCAGGGGCTATTCCTCCAATGAATAGATTAGTGCCAGCCATAAACGGAGCAAGTTTGCCCCGAACTGGAACTTTCTTACCATTAACTCTCAGTTCAGTTCGCTGCCCAAACTTCTTCAGATCGAGAAGATAGTGTTCGTTTGGTTTCACAATCTCCGCTGATTCCGCTTCAATACTACCTCAAAACAAACAGTATAAATTATAACGGAATTATAACGGAACATTCGCGCAAGTCGCGCTCCTGCACGAATATTTTCTACATCTTTGCATTAACAGGAAGTGGTAAGTGAACGAACCATCGCCACTGTTGTAGAGGTGAGCGAACTTGCCACTGCGGATTGCCAGTGCTAAATAGTTGGCTTTCTTCGGACTGTAGTCTGACGCAACGAATGCAAGCAGCTGGTCGTTCGTAGACCGTGGCTGCAGATGCATCTTCAACTGAAATTATTCACTTGATCTGTGCTCACTGCCTGCAGCAACATCTTTGTACTGAAATACTCTCTAGCTTTGGCAGAATGAGTATTTCAGCATTTTGCGTTGTGAGAAATGGCGGACATGGTGTAGTGACCAATAACTCTATTTCATGCTCAAAGTCGAGGACAAGACGTTACAAGTAAGAAAAAAGAAACTGCTTTTTGGACATTTTTATTGCAGCGCTTGTTTAACAAAAAGTAAATGAGTTTGAATTTCTGGTTTGATTCGTTCGTAATTTAAGAAATGAAACCAAAGTCGGGCCTGAAACTCAAAAATTGGGGAACATTCAAACTCATTTTAAAAATTCATGCTAAAATTTTATATTTTACGCAACACGTTAAAATAATTTTTTATGTGTACGAATCATTGTATCTTTTTATGTTAAAATACTTTATGTAGCTTTTATTTGGCTTTCTTGTGCCTAATCTTTCATTTTCATCGCTGACGGCGATGTTTCATGTCGCATTTATCATCATGGATAATCCACACACTGCTTTTCTCAGGATGCTCTTAACGCTATTCATCCCAAATCATCGATGGGCGACAAGGTGTATTTCAGCACCCTATAAAAACCTCGTCACTTTCACTCCGAACCTCAGTGCAGAAATGGCACCACTGCACTTTGTCTACATCGTCTACTCTCAGTTGTTCACCTCACGGTGCAAGGACGTCTTCACCGTCTTAGATCACTCGGCGGATCCTGACTTCCGGTCTCATCAAAGATTCCTCAGTAGACGCAACCCGTATTTCCTGAGTAGATATCGCATGACCTGGATGCTGATCCTTTAG